GAGCTGCAGCACCAACAGATGAAGCTGCAGGCAACAGAGTATTATCTACAGCAGGGGTGCCCAAAGTGGGTCCTGGAGGCCCGGCATCCTGCATGTTTTATTTTCTCTCTGGTGGTAGAAACAACCTTTTCCGCTTGTCAATGTTCTTCTTAGGCCATCTAACGAGCCACCATTTGATTCAGGTGTGTTAAACCAGGGAGAGAACTAAAACATGCAGGATGCCGGGCCTCCAGGACCCACTTTGGGCTCCCCTGCTGTAGATAATACTCTGTTGCCTGCAGCTTCATCTGTTGGTGCTGCAGCTCTCTGAGGATGATGCTCTGGAGACCTCTTGGACCTTCGTCAGTTAGGGCACAGGACAAACCTTTAAAGTTGAACATAAATAAAAATAAAAATACAAAATTTAGATGCTTTAACTTTTGGTATGATTATGCATTACTTAAAAACATACTTTTAAATTTACCTCCTGATAACAGGTGGGAAACTCCTTTAGAGTGTCTTCACAGGATGACAGAGATTTCCAATGATGGTCCATCAACAAGGATCCTTTTTTCCTCTTCCAGTCTCTTTACTATCATGATGTCATCGATTGCCCTTGTTCTTGTGTGAAGACTGACAGAGTCTGAAATGCATTTATGAAAAGGACAAATCAACTCATTAAAAGTTTAAATTTGTAAGTTGAAGTCAACCTCTGGAGTATCTAGTCACATTATCTGTCAGCTATGATGACAGTATAAAACATATTAGTGTATGTTTACTTACCACTGTGTGATTGTTGCCATGGCAATGTTGGAAGAGACCGGACAGGATCTCTTCCAAAGACAGAACTTCTGTGTCTGTATCAGTCTTCAAGTGACCAACATCTTCTAAAGCTAAGATGTTTTCTCCTTTCTGATCTTGCGATGAGCCTTGGCACAAGCTTTGTGTCCATCTGTGTCTGCACAGACATATACAAACAACATCAACTGTGTCAAAGATGTTTATGCAGTATGTACCAGCAAGGTTATACAATGCCTGGTCAGTGTTCCTTCCCTTCCATTCATGGGCTTTGCCATGGAAAATTGAGAGAAATGGCTTCATTTTAAGCAGGTGTTGGAGCTCAGGACAGCTTTTTGTTAGTTTTCAAGATATGGTCAGTACTTACATGTTACATCCATGGAAAAAAAAGTGATTGTCTGTTGGCCAGAATTTGTTAAAAGAACAAGGGTTATGCAAATATCTCATACTATCTCGAAGAGCACTAAGCAGCACTCCATGTCTACACACCGCTAGCTCCAAGCCTCCTCTTCCAGTTTGCTGCTGGTTCTGTGAGAGATCTCCCTGGCTGCCCACCACAAAATCTAGAATGCATACAATTCAGTCAGGCAAGCTGTTATAACAGGCTAAAAAGGTTACTGTTATTATACATTTACAATCTGCAGTCTTACATTTTTGGTTGATTTGTGTATACAGTCCACTAATTTTCCTACGTTTTCATCCTTGGCTATGAAAAGGTCCTGAAATATAGCCTGTTCCTCCAATCTGAAAAACAAGCAATAAAATACACTCCATGAGATGTTATAGTCCAAAAGTAGTGAACATCACTAACATATACAAAGAATTGTTATATTTTACACATTTTGCTGCATTCTTTAAATGGTAATACTTGCAGTTTCCATCCACTGAAACTGAAAGCACATCTGGGGTACAAGCTTGACACTTGAAGGGATCCTTCCTTAACATTTTAACTTACGCTTTCTCTTCTTATCGGCCACCCTGACTTAAGGAGACGGCATGGTCAGCAGGTGACATGAATGCAGATGTGGCTGATCTACGGGCGGGGGGGGGGGGGGCGGAGAGATGACACAGTGGGAGGAGAGGCAGTTGGAGAGATGCTTCTGGGTCTTTTCTTCTTCTGAAAAGACTGAGAGGATGGGACAACAGGATGAAAAAAAGGAACAAGATCAAGCACTATCACAGTCTCTTCCTGGTTCTCTGGTATCATCATTGGATGCTCCTCAGCTATGGTCTCTGACTGTTCAAAGATCAGGTTCTCAGCTCTTTACTTCTCTTCATCTGGCTTGCGACAGCAATAAATAACATAGAGAGGAGGACAGAAATGTGCCTGTACTGATGCAAG